GCGCTCGGGGTCTGAGGAGGCCGCTTATCAAGGCAAACTTGATAAATTAGCGGCTGAAATAGCGCAGCTAAAGCAGATGTTAGCACAATGCAACCAGAAAATGACAGCTTTAGGAAAAGAAAACAGGACCCTCAAGGAGGAGTTACACCACTATAAAAGAACAAAACATGCTCCATCAGTAGTACCACTGCTCTCAGCTGTTACACCCAGTGAAACAATGGAGGAAGGTACAACACCACCACCTCCCAAGCACAGAGCCGAAACCCAGGCCAATGAAGACAAACCCACAGGCGTGACGCCCGAGAATAAAGTCCTGAAGGAAGTTCAGTAATCAGTCAAAGAATTAAATGAGTGGATGAGCAACGCGTCCCGACTGATCTCGGCCCTTACTGACCGCGTAGAGACTATAGTTAAAATTACCCAGCAAGAAAACGAACACCTACAACAGCGACTCATCGCTGTGGAGGCTAGAGTCACTCCTCTGCCACCTAGCAGACTGGACCCCATGGCGACTGTAAAGCAACCTTCCTCGTCGGCATTCAGTGTGATACAGCCGGCGACTTTCTGACCTCCTGGGTTTTATCATAGCTAGAAATCACGCCTACACAATTTGGCAATGGAATTGTAGAAGCTACGTAAATAATCAAGCAAATCTTCACCAATACCTTAAGGGAAAAGTTAAGCCCGAAATCGTTTTATTGCAGGCGACACCTTTTCTCTCTAAATTAACAGGCTATCGCTCGATCGGACATGCCAACGGGGAGACGACTGTCCTTACCACCCTAGTTAGACTAAACCTTACGTTCACGCAACACAACATGGAAATTAGCAATATAGACAATATATTTATTGAGCGCGTTCCGCACCACATGACACACGAAAGTCTTTTTATAATAAACATATACAGCAGCCCTAAACAAAAGAAACACATATATCTCACACTCTTTAAACGCGCCATGAACATCGCTGGCCGAAATCCCATCTTAATAGCGGGGGACTTCAACGCACCACACACTGCCTGGGGATACTCTTATGTGTTTCCTAAAGGTAGGGCCCTCTGGTTTGACTCGCAGAAGGAGGGATTAACTCTCATCACCAACCCTAGCACACCCACACATGCAGGCACTAGCTCCAGTAAAGACACAATGCCTGATCTGACGTTCACGAGAAACACATCAGCAGCCACCTGGAAAAATACCCTAGAGGACCTGGGCAGCGACCACTACATCATCAAGGTACATGTTCAAGGTGGCCCACGTAAACCCATGGGAGAACAGCTAAAGTTGGTAGACTGGGCCCATTTCCGCAAATCACATGAGAACCAGGTCCAACCCATCAGCGACATAGAAGACTGGATACACACGCTTAAACAGGATATTAATAATGCCACCAGAATCGTACCTCCCGAGGCACACGTCGAAGAGATCGATAGCCAGCTCCTCCACAAGTGGGAAGCAAAGCAATCACTCCAAAAGAGGTAGAAGACACAGAAACACAACAGAAACGTCGGAAAACGCATAGCACTCCTCAACACAGAGATAGAGATGTATGCAACACAGCTAAGCCGGCAACACTTGGATGAAACCTGCGATGCGATGGACAGGCAGCTAAGTCTTATTAAAACATGGCATTTTCTACGGTTCCTGCTCGATCCAGAAGACAGCAAAACCGCCCAACGACGCACTGTCAACAAACTAATACATGCTTACAAGGGCACCGACGAGGAGTTTCTCAGAGAGGTAGAGCTCAAATATATCTCTCAGGCTTCTACTCAGCAGCATCCAGATTATACGGGCCAGGTCAACTCTCTATACGAAGAATTCACCGAAGCGGATATCCCTGCTGCCCTACTAAGCTTAACACCAAATCTGCACCAGGTCCGGAAAACATCACGAATAAGATAATACGTAATTTGGACGATGAGTCGATCACGCATATCACAGACTATATTAATAACTGCTGGAACACCGGAATCTTGCCCACACAGTGGAAAACGGCCAAAGTGATTATGATTCCGAAAGAAGGCAAACCACTGAATAATGACAATCTTAGGCCCATCTTCACATCTTGCATTGGCAAATTGATGGAACACGCTTTCCTGGCTAGACTGACAAATTACCTCGAAGACAATGATTTTTTCCCACACACCATGATTGGCTTCCGCAGGCATCTTTCAACGCAGGATGCCATGTTGCAGCTTAGACCGTACAGGATGCTCCACTAGGGGCATACTTGGTCTTGATCTCAAGAAGGCTTTTGACTCTGTCACGCATAGCTCCATTCTAAATCAGGTCAATACCCTAAACTTGGGGCTTCACACGTACAACTATATAAGAGCATTTCTTACAGGCAGAACGGCCACGACCACTGTAGGAGCACTCAGGTCGTCCGAAATAACCATGGGAAGTGCGGGCACCCCGCAGTGTTCCGTGATCTCTCTTTTGTTGTTTAACCTCGCCCTCATTGGTCTTCCTTCAAAACTTCAAACCATCCAAGGACTTTATCACACCATTTACGCCGATGACATCACCCTCTGGGTGTGCGACGGCAGTGACGGTTCCATTGAACAGAGATTACAGGAGGGGATTGACACAGTGGAACGGTATTTACAAGAAACTGGACTATCGTGCTCGGCGGAGAAATCTGAGCTACTGCTATATCGCCCTACACTTAGAGGTCGGCCACCCAAACAACATCCCCAAGCGCAGGCACACGCTGATATAAAACTCACTACAAGCGATGGTCAAGCCATACCCACCGTGGACAAAATCAGAGTGCTAGGTTTGATCATAGAAGGTAAGGGTACCAACGGAGAGACAGTTCGCAACATTGAAGCCAGAGTGCCTAACACGATCATTAGGCGCATTACCAATAAACACAAAGTTATGAAAGAGGCTAGCGTCATTCGTTTGATCCAATCATTCGTTCTGAGTCACATCACCTATACAGCGGCGTACCACCGATGGTTCACTGCAGAAAAGTCAAAACTCAACAGCCTAATTAGGAAAAGTTACAAATAAGCGCTAGGTTTGCCTCAAAACACCAGCACCGAACTCCTCCTTCAACTTGATTTACACAATACCCTTGAGGAACTTATTGAGGCGCAACAAATCTCCCAATTCGAGTGATTAGCCAAGACTAGGCCAGGCCGCCAGGTTCCATGTAATCTCGGTATTTCTTACCACACTCAACACTGAGACAAACACGACAAACCACGCACTATCTGTGCTAAGCTCACAGTACCACCCATACCAAGAAACATGCACCCTGAACACAACAAGGGCAGACGTGTCAGTAGAGCCAGAGCCATGTCAAAGATGTTTGGGCGCAACCATGAGGCAGTCTTTGTCGACACAGCACGCTACCAGGAACATCACCGCTTCGTGGCTGCTGTCGTAGACCACACAGAACAATGCAAAAGCAGCGCGTCAATCATCACACGGAACGTAGAAACCGCAGAGGAAGTGGCTATCGCGATGGCCATAGCCCACACTAACGCCTCGTGTGCAATTAGCGACTGGCAGACAGCCGTTCGAAACTACGCCAGCGGCAGAATCTCCCCTGAGGCATTGCGGATTCTTAGTACAGTCAAAAGTCACGAGGCGGACAAATGCGTGCACATCTTGTGGTTCCCTGCCCACACACCACTAGGTAACGCGGAGGACAGTCCGAATGAAGTGGCGCACAACAGGGCTCGAGGTCTTACGTTCTAAGTCGCACACGAAGCGGCCATCCAAACGCACCTTTATGCGTCAATGTGGGAATGGGACAGTCGGCTCACTAAATTTAATGACGTAATTCAACGCTATCGACTGCAAAGGCGGGAGTACCCTCCGCCTCACCCCTAGCTAAATTGGGCCCAGTCCGTTCAGTGGCGGCAGCTACAAACACGCACATACACGAACCCTGTCATCATGCACCACGTATATCCCGACGTCTATAGTTCTAATCTATGCCAGTACTGTACCACCAGAGCCACTCTTGACCATATCCTATGGGAATGTCCAGCATTAGTTAGAAATTCTGGGGTCGCGGCCTCCAATGAAGACCTTCGGGCGCGTTGGCGGACTGCGCTGTTCAGTTCGGGCCTGGACAAGCAACTTTGGGCGATCCAGCAGGCCAAGGAAACTGCTGGGAGACACGGTCTCTCCGTTGGCCCCTAGGTGGGAGCCCATCCCAGCAATCTGCCAGAAATTAATAAAGTCCACATCTCTCTCTCTCTGTTCTAATGCAGCTATCGAAAATCTACTTACAGATTAGGAATCTGCAGAAAAAATTGAATAAGTGTATCATGTTTAATTTGATTCAAGCAAATAATAAAAAAAATTGTCCTAAGATGTATTTGCAGCAAATTCCTGAAATTATTTTTTTTTTTACTTAATGCATTGTTTCACCAATAAAGCCATAGGTCCTCATTGTACGGTTGCTGGTTTGTAGGCTTGCAAGTTGTCAGGCTAAATATCTTGAAAAGGTCGCGCTGAAGTCACGCCTACTTGAACATTGTGGCGAGGCGATAGGCAAGTTTGCTGGGTCACTGCCGCAATTCAGGCACCAGGTGCAGTCGAAAGCTCTTGTTTCACTTTCGAATATCCTTTGCGGGCCTTCCGGCAAGTTCTTTCAAATGGAAAGGGAAGTTGTTTATACCTTCTCAGTTTCTTTCCTTTTCTTTGGCTTGCAACGTATGCCGGTGGCACTCCGTGTTATACTTGCATATGAACCTGTTCTTTCTGCCTTTCTCACACCAGCTATGGTGGTCTAATGGCATTCAGCTGCTGACCTGCATGTCACGGGGCCGAATCCCAGCCGCGACGGCCACAATTTCGATGTAGGCGAGAACACTTGAGGCCTGTCTGCTTGGCTTAGATTTAGGCGCACGTTAAAGAACCCCAGGTAGTCGAAATTTTTGGAGCCTTCTACTACAGCGTCTCTGATAATCATGTGGTTGGAGACATTAAAATCCAAGAATGATTTTTATATTTTCGCCTTATTTTCGCGGGCAGCCCGGACAACTGGCAATACCACAAGCAGTACCTGAACAGTGTGGAGAAGCTGCAGTCTATGGGCTGGACACCTGAAGAGAGCAACACTGAGTGAGTCACTGAGTTGAATTAACACCTGTTGCGCCAATAGGGCCTCTCTGTAGTTGTCTCAGTCGTACTGTGGCAGGCTATCTTCATTTCTGGCTCTGCATCTTACGCACTTCCTTGCAGAGTGGACGAGAGGTATGAGTTGTGCCCACCAGCTGACTACACGTACCCAATGGCCCTGGACTTTATCGAGACTCTCAAGAAGTCTTTCAAGAAAGGTGGACTGCTCCGAGGTCCTTGCATGGCTCATGTTGTCATCATGGTCAGGGAGCAGGCCAGTCAGGAAGTCCTCGGTGAGTGAGAGCAGGTCTTCCCCAGCTACACATCGTCCCTGTTTCTTCCTGAAACATCTTGTACTGCCATTGCAGTTCTGAACGTGCTAGTATAAATCGCAGAGCTGTTAAACACCCTCTTGCAGAGCGCAGCCTGAATATGTGTGAACACATACGTGCATGTTATGAATGGTGTGGCTTCCCTCTTGGTCTCGGCTCACAATGTATGCACTCTTGCTTTACGCCGGTCATGTGGCACCCATAGCGGACCTGCTGGTGGACTTTTTCGAGAGAACCAGCCACAAGCCATCCTGCCTTCTCGACCTGTCTTACCTGATCAATTTGTGTGCCTTCAGCAACGAAGATATTGTCAAAGTATGTGTTACCTTTCAACCTCCGTAGTTGAAAAGAAAAAAGAAAAACCGAGCTGTGTATTTATCTTTCTAGTCTTCCTTCTTTCTTGAAGTCTTTATGCAGGCTTGCACTTGTTTTTTATTTTAAGTTTGTGAGGAAAGATGTTCTTGGTGAACAAACTGATTGACTGGTGAGACCATTCGAGCTAATGGTAGCTATGGAAAACTGTTCCTTCAAAAAACACACAGCATACTTCTGATCATTCTGCAAGTACAGTAGGCACAGAACCTGAAGGGACCAGAAAAATACGTTCCATTTAATTGCAGTTTCTCTTACTGAGAGATGAACAAGGGTGCAGAATACAAGTACTAAACCAATCGTATCAGAGGCAAGAAGCAATCCCATTTAACAGATTTTCATTTACTGGGAGTCTGTACATTGACAGTTCTTATACATTGTGGACGTGTGACCTCACTGCTTTTCTGCACTTTCATTTCAGCTGGTGGACAGAATGGAGGCATTGCTGAAAGAGGCACTGCCCGAGAGCTGGCAAAGGCCTCCTGATGTAAGTGCTGCTACTAGGTACTTAACTGGGTCGTGCCGTACTTTTCGAAAATGGTCAGAAAACGCGGCTGATTGGTAGTCGAGGCTCCCGAGAACACATGAGTCAGATACCGTATTTAATCGCGTAATGAACGCACTTTTTTTCTTGGAAAATCGAACCAAAGTTGGGGGTGCGTTTATTATGCAAGGCAAATTTTATTGAAACTCATTTGGGAGGAGCACAAAATGCTGTAACACACACAAAAAAAAGTTCGCTTACTTAGCCTTTCCCAATAGACATACCCATACACTGTTTGGAAATGGCTGCTTTGTTGACTCATCTTCGGTGGCTGAAAGTGTTATCTTCTGCAAGCTGTGCCTGCGCTGCCCGCACACTCCATAAAAGCGTTTCAGGGCTTTATTTTTTTGCAATTGTATAACGCCAATAGTGGTATATGCTGCGACATCGAGAGGGGCCCAAAAACATGCTCTACGACACTATGACGCACTTAGCCAACTTTTTGGCAACCTCGTACGGTGACGCCGTTGACATTGCGCTAAGCTACCACTGAAGCATCAAAACAAACCATCGATAATAAGGTTAACAACAAAATACGGCTGCTGCCTTGCTGTTTCACATGAGAAGTTACTGTAGAAAAGGTAGCCTATATTTCGCATTCCTTGTAGTACGTGCGGATAATGTACATGAAAAGCGAATTGTAACCGAAGTGAGAATCGGGGGGTGCTGCAATGTTGCGGAAATAGTCCCGATCTTTTTTGGGTGTCAAGCGATTTTTTCTGGTTAACCATAAATCTGCTATGCGATGGAGACAAGTGGTCCTTCGGGACAGCCATGGCAACAGCAAACCCTGTCGTCATCGCTCGAAAATCACGGGCATGTGGATAGGCCTTAAAGTTTCGTATTTACAAAAAGCGATCGCTGGTTGGCACGGACAGTTTCACTTCACTTCACTTTTTATTTCCTTAAGGGCCCCCTCAAGGGGGGTATTACATAAGGGGTGGGGTTACAATTGGGCGACATATATATATATATATATATATATATATATATATATATATATATATATATATATATATATAATGAAAATACACAACTATACATACAAAAAAATTATACATAAACAATATATATACATTTGTAATTATGCACATCAACCAGATATGCATGTAATTAGTAGCCACATATAAACATAAGAATAAATTAGTGGTTAAGCTTCTCAGCAAATGATGATAAGCAGGTGATATCAGCGATAGAACGGGGCAGGCCGTTCCACTCAGTCGATGAACGGCAGAAAAAGGAGGCTGAGAAGGTAGTAGTGCGGCTGCGTGGACGGGTTACTTGTAAGTGATGCCCAGTACGAAGGGAGAGGTGTGGGGGCGGGGCCAAGATGTATGGTGTCTGATGAAGCGAGCTGTAATAGAACTTGTAAAAAAGGATTAGTGAATCAATGCGGCGCCGGGACGACAATGAATCTAAGCTGGATCGTGCCTTCAGTAGTGATACGCTTGTGTGACATGAGTACGATGAATAAATTAATCTTGCGGCGCGATTTTGGACTGCTTCGAGTGCATTGATGAGATATGCTTGATGTGGGGACCATATCGGGGAGCTTTGTGACCTTCCTTCGCTGTGTGCCTATCGGCTGCGATGTCTCTACATTTGCACCATTCGTGATCCCCGCTGTGGCGCAAAGATAGTTAAAAAATACTGGGGACATGCCGTGCACAGGTGGAAAGAAAGCAATACGGCGCATGGCAGCGGGCGAAGGGGAGAAGGGAGTGATCCGAGGGGGGTCGGCGTCGGCATAGTAATGAACAAAAAACAAATAATATCTTACGGGCAAGGAGGCGCCATGCGGGATATAGCGGTACTCCAGTGGAATAATGTTGGAGGTACATTTATTACGCAGGGGAAAAAAATCCAAATTTCGATGTCTGAAGTTGGGAGTGCCTTGATTATGCGATTGTGTTCATTACACGAGCAAATGTTGTATACATTGCTGTCACTGAAATCTCTGACATCGTAACACAGGCTTCAGCATTTAGCAACTGTGCCTTGTCAAGGCAACACAATCTCTTTTAGCTAGTAGAGCACAAGAAGTGTCCTCAGGGTTTGTAAGTGCAGATGTCAAGCAAGAATTTGTAACATCTTCATATGCATAGTTCCAATAAATATGGATTTGAAGAGCATGCAAATGCTTGCTTGACATCTGCACTTATAGACCTTGAGCAAACTTGTGTTGTACTAGCTAAAAGAGATTGTGTTGTCTCGACATGGCGTGATTCTTCGGTTAAGCATCCCTTTCTCATAGTGCTCAAAAATTGGAATGCGGCATCTTTTTTCCAGTGTAGTGTCTGCTGTGTAGTGATCTCATGATAACAGGGTCATGTTGCTGCAAGCTAAATGTAATGTTGGCTTGTGATGCAAGTGTTCAAGCCATAGTTATGGCTCTATGACTTGAGCTGCAAGTAGAATTACCTCCTTGGATGTCCATTAGATAGCCCTAAATTTTCTCATTTCGCTCTGTGTACTTGCCAGCCCACCGATTGAGTACAGTGTCAAAAAGAGAGAACAAATTTGTTCAAATTAAATGTGCCCCTTGTTCTTTTCTGCACTCATATTTATGGTTGTCAGGAAATATAGTGTGCACCCAAATTTAGTGCACATTCCCGCTTTTGTGATAGACAAAAGTGGCATATTGATGAGGAAAAAGACAAGCTTGCTTTCAAAAGACTTACTTTTGTTTATGCCTCCTTGTCCATTGCCATTTTACTGCGGTCTTGTTTGTTGATAGGTCATTGCAGCTGTTGTTGAACTGAGGTATATATGTATTCACTTGAACCTCACTGTAGCAAAGTTGCACCTTAGAAGGAAATAGGTTTGTTATATCCGGAAATTTATTATAAAGGTTATTCATAACACTGTATTTATTGCAAGAATGCTTTTCTTTCATTTATTTTGTTATAACTGATGTTTCGTTATATCTGTGTTCGTTATATTGAGGTTTGAGTTTATCTACACAAACAAGCACATGCATGCACACACACACACACACACGCTTGTGCTGACATCTTCATTCAGAATCGTCCCACGTCTTTCGCACTGTAGGTCAGCGCTATGCAGAGGCATCTCACCGTTTGCCAGCTGCGACACTATTTGAGCAGGGGCAGCCATCTTTCCTTAGAGGAGCGACTTCCTGTGGTGAGGGAGCTGTTTGCCAGCTACCAGCACAGTCTTCAGTTTGGTGAGTGCAGATGGATGCCTGGTGTCGTCACACCCAAGTTTAGATTGTGTCCGAGAAGACCAAAAGGGTCATCCTCAAACAACATCTAAAGCCATGGTTGGTGACCTGCGGCCCACTTAGCTGTTTCATGTGGTGTCCCATCTATGGGGAAATTGAATATTTTTAATTAACAAATTTGGCATACAGTCCTAAAATGTGCGACCTGTATTTGCTCGAATGTAATTTGACTGCAATGGTAATGCAAGTATGGTAATGCAGCCGCCGCAACCGAGATTCGATCCCGCTGACCCGCAGGTCGCGGGATCTATGTCCGGCTGCAGCGGCTGCATTTCCGATGGAGGCGGAAATGTTGTATACGCCTGTGCTCAGATTTGAGTGCACATTAAAGAACCCCAGGTGATCGAAATTTTCTGAGCCCTCCACTGCGGCATCTGTCATAATCATGTGGTTGTTTTGGGTTGTTAAACCCCACATATCAATCAGTGCAATGACTTCAATGAAATAAAAGCACGTGGTACGATTGAGGAAACATAGAAACTGTCTTGAAATTTTGACTTGTACTTGAAAATACTGGTAATTTGACATGTTTATAATATTAACTGCAAGTTTGAATGCTACAAACCTTCTGCGAAACTAGCACACATACTACAGTAAAATCTCGGATGATACGAATTCATGTGAAGCGCACAAAATGTCCGTATCATCTCGAATTTGTACAAACCAAAACAAACAAGGCTGGTTATTAAAATGAACAAGAACTTTATTGAGGTCACCGCTCCTTGCTGAAAATGTCCATGGCGTGGTTTTTTCTTTTTTTTACTTTTCTGCCTTCGGGGTATGTCAAAAAAAGCCACCGGAAAGGAATGAAATCGTACAGCGGTTTTCTCACTCATGCTGCTCAGGGGGAGCGAAAGCGGCAAAACTAGCCAGAATTTCACTTGCTTCGCTGCCTAAGTGGGCGGAAAACCGCGCCGTGAAGTTGACACGAAAAAAAATTTATTTTGGAGCAAGCGATGTGAAAACGAAAACACCAAAGCGGCCGGAAAACCAAATCCGCATGTGTCGAAAACGGTCACGTTAGTTGTGCCCCTCGTTCATGCTACCGCCGCCTTTGCTACTTTGAGAATTCATTTCATTTTATATTTATATTTCGCACTGAATTCTAGTTATTCATGCAAAGCACTGAAAAGAAACAGCTTGAACCTTTTCGCATGTCGTTTTGGGAGATACGCCAGCAGAAACGAATTGAGCGGACACACTGGCAGTGGCGGAGACTGATTGAGCTGGCTGTGCAAAAGCGAGACACGTTGCGACAGGCCGACTCGCTATTACTGCAGCACCTTCTTTTACTTCTGCTTTTCTTGGCTATCGTAATTTAAACCAGGCTCTCGTTGAAAGTGTTCCTGTCGAGGCCGTGAGCTTTGTTGGGTTGCGCGAGCAGTTTGCGATTGCGCCAGTGCAGGCCACCGCTGACGCCTTTGCTGCCATGTTGAAGATGCGACTGGTTGTTTGCATAACATGGATTTAGCTGTGCCGTTGCATGCCGTGAAGCTGATAGGCAGTTCGCTATTGCGTGGTGGAAAAATTCGTGGGTTTTCCAGCCACTTAGGCAGCGAAGCAAGGGAAATTCTAGGGAGTTTTGCCGCAGTCGCTTCCTTCGATGCTAAGTATGAAGAGGCCTGTTCTACCACAAGCAAGTCGCGAGGCGCTGCTCGCGTGCAGCGGTGAATCGTGCTTTCATGTCACCCGTGGCGGCTGGGTAAACTGTTCGCATAACACCGAATCGCGGCGCATTTTAAATACTGTAGTCCATCCGAAACAACCTTAAAATTCGTATCATCGTGAAATTTGGATAAATTGTAATGTTGTCATCGAGATTCTACCGTATGAAAGTGGACACCTAGGGACACCAAGTGAAACAGACTGTTAAACTATTTGTGGTATTATTGTAGCTTACTATTTTCGTAATATTAAAGGCTTTTGGTGCACGTTTGCCATGTCTTAGGAGGTCGACAATTTCCTTTTCTTGGTTTCAGCTAGCTTACATTCGTTTGCTTTCTGCTTTGCTGTGTTGCGCTTTGTGTTGTTTATCATGCTTCAACTGTCCTAATTTACCGTCCCTAAGGGAGCGAGCTGTGAGTTGAGTTGATTGGATTTTCTCCTTTCCAGGAGTGGAGCTACTGACAACGGACTTCCAGCCAGCAGATAACTATGCCGTCCTAGCGGCCTGCCTCCTGCTTGAGCACTGGCAAGAGTCAGGTAGGAGCAGAGGACTCATTATTGCTGTGTCATTACCAATAGCTTTTTTTGCGTATTTTTTTTAGTTGTATGGGATGTGCGAGATCTGCATCTGGAGTGAACCTGGTGTAGTGGGAACTCTTGCGCATGCCAGGCAAATTCCCATTTCACACCCCTTAATTGCATCTAAAGACATGTGTACCTCGCTGAAAAATCTGGGTGAAAAATATAAGCTGCTCAAGTTTTGCTGGAAGTAAAATTTTATGGCCATGATATTTCATTGTAAGACATGGCACTCTCGCTTGACTATATATTATAGGTGAAAGATATCAAAAATAAATTTCGATTGCAGGAGAAGCTAGCCAAACCACAGATTCTTTTAGCATATACAGTAGACTCTCAGTAAACGGAAATCTGTTTAACATAACTGCTGCTTAAATGGAACAAATGCTTCTAACAAGAGTGGTTTCGTTCTTGTATTGTGTGCCGCTGTTCTTCTTTCAGTAAACGGAACTCGTGTTATCCAGAACACATTTTACTGGTCCCTTCAGGTTCTGATTATTGAGAGTTTACTGTATTTGTTTCGTTGTCTATTGGTAGCTGCAGATAGCAAGCAGCACACTGCAGCCCTTTTAATGCTCTCACTTTTTGTGGGTGCCAGCAGACAACGGACAAGTATATGTATCTATTTATTTATTTATTACAATACTCACTGCGCTTTTCAGCATTACAGTGGGCGGAAGGAAAATACTAGCATAGCCTACCAAAAGCAGGTACCGTATTTGCTCGCGCAATGAACACCCTTTTTTTTTTCTCTAAAAATGGGAACAAAGTTGAGGGGTTGCGTTTATTATGTGAGGTAAATTTTATGAAAACTTTTTCGGGAGGAGCAATAAAGGCGTTAATGCAAAGAAAAAAAGCTATGTTTCTTAGCTTTTGGCAATTGACATACACGTACACTGTTTGAATATAGCTTCTTTGTTGCACTTTACTCATCTTCGGTGGTTGATGGCACTATCTCCTACAAGCTGTCCCTGGGCCGCTCGCGCCTTCCATAAAAGCGTCTTGCGGCTATCTTTTCTTGCAATCGTTTAACCGCGACAATGGTATCTTTAGTCACATCAAGGTGCACCCAAAAGCATGCGCTATGATGCACTTATGCAAACTTCGTGGCAACCTCGCATCACGACCGTGACGACGCTGTTAACATTGTAGCAAATATCCAACATTGCAGCAAGCTACCCCCCCGAAGCAACAAAACAAGCCGGCGATAACAAGATTAACTCCACAATACAGCTGCCGTCTCGCTTCTACAAGAGAAGTTCCTCTACACACTGATAACAAGCAAAGCGAGAATTGGAGGTGCTGCCGCGTTGCGGAAGTCATCATGATCTTTTTTAGACAACAAGCGATTTTTTTCCGGTATTCCAGAAACCTGCAACACGATAGCGACGAATGACCATATGCGACAGCAAATCCTGTCGTCGTCCGCGGTGGTTGGTGAGGGCAGTTTCGTGACCTTCGCTTGCTGTGTGCTAATCAGCTACGATGTCTCTACACTCGCACTGTTCGCAAACCCCACTGTAGTGCACAGATAAAACGGGGATGGGTTGCGCACAGATAGAAAGAAAAACAATATGGCACGTGGCAACGGGCGAAGAGGACGGAGAGAGAGCCGAGGGGGGTCGGCAAAATAGCAAAAAACTGAAGGGATCCAACGGGTGAGAAGGCACCAGGTGTCTGTTAGGACTGCAGCGGATAAATGTAGCGGGTGCGTTTATTACGCGGGGAAAAAAAATACACATTTTGATGACTGAAGTTGGAGATGCTTTTATTATACGATTGCATTCATTATGTGAGTAAGTACAGTAATTGAAACAAATATTCAACCTCAAGTAACTGCTGAAAAAAAGCAGAACAGCAAAACATACCGTAAAAACTGGAATATAGGTGGAATTTTTTTTTCAAGAAATGTGATGCAAAGTCCGACCCTCGTCGTATATGTACCGGTCATTTATAGAAAAAAATGAAGTCTCGCAACAATGGCCAGCCAAAGTCAAAAGCCTCCATTGCCATCGTGAGCATCAGCAGCGGCGCAGTTAGGCAGGTCTAGGCAAAGCCTACAGTGTACTAGCAACACCATTTTGCTTCAGTTATCTTTGTCAGTTTGCTGTTTTCCTTTTTCTATTTTTTTTTTTTCAGAAATGAGTGATAGTTGATGGCAGTTTACCATTGGCTTTAAGAAAAAAGTTATTGTGTATGTCGAAGCGCTCGGCAACCTGCTGGCACAATGGGAACTGTGTGCATATACCATATACCACTATACCATATTCTAGGGGAAAGGGATACTTAAAGAAGGCTTTCCCTGGGATGTTATCATGAGAGCGAAAGAAATAGGATTCATGAATGAGTCTCTATGAGTGTGGAATCGGCGACCCGGTGTGCTTTTTCAGCGGCCGAAGATGTTTATGCTCGGGCCATTTCGAGGCCATCGTATGGCCAATGTAAAGGAAGCTCTGTTCGATGTCAATACGAACCTTGTCGTGATCCCTGGAGGACTAACATGAATCCTTCAGCCACTGGATGTAGTTCTCAATAAACCTTTCAAAGGTACAGTGCGCAAGCTCTACAATGAGTGTATGCTGGGCGACAATATCAAGACCCCCGCTGGCTGCCTACGACATCCACCACTCAAGACCATTTGTGGCTGGGTGTCATTAGCATAGAAATTTCTTCCAGAAGAGGTGGTGAGCAAGTCTTTACGCAAATGCTGCATCAACAACGCATTGGATGAAATGGAGGACGATGCACTCTGAGTCTTAACTAATCAGAAACAGACGTCAGATTCAAGTTCGGACAAGTCTGAGTGACAGCACTTTGTGGCCTTCCAATGTTTAACTACATAAGATTAGTGTCAAAATAAGAAGAAAGGTCACCACAGTGCAGCTAGTTGTGTCGTGGATTTGTCAATGCAAAGCTGCGCCGCGATACTTTGTGATTTTTAAAAATGTTTTTCAGAGATTCAAAGTCAAGTGGGTCGATCTATACCCTAGTCCGACCTATATTCTGGTTTTTACAGTATTTAGTACAGAAAACACACAAGCAAATACCTCACAGGAGACCACGAAGACTGCTTACAATACAAGCTTTGTAAAAAGGGAAGCAAATAATTGAGGGAAGATAACAACAGCAATGTGATGGGGCAGTTTGTTCCACCCATGGTTTTAGAGAAAAACACCATCCTGAAGTAGCTGATGGCATCTTAATATCAGTGAGCCTGCCCTATAAACTAAACAAAGCTTTAATGCTATAACAATACAGAGCTCGTCCCGCGAAAATTCCGGCATCGACACGGAGTCGGCCTCAATGGTTGCAAGTGAAAAATGATCTTGTCTATGACAGAAAATCCAGAAAAATGCAAATGAAATAATAAAGATTTCTGGGTTGAAGTGAGGATCGAGCCCATGCTGTTTGCGTGGCAAGAAGGTGTTCTACCGCACAGCTACGCGTTTGCTTGGAAATGCAGTTAAAATAACTTCCTCTGCTTGGAAACGCTGTCAAAATCACATTCATGCCTTACAAACACACTCATCCCAAGCACAGGCTTCACAACGCAGTATAACCTCGTTACAACGAATCTGCTTACAACAGACAATTGGATACTACATACCAATTGGCATGGTTATGCAGACCCCTCCATTTGTTCCATTGATGGAGCTTTGATTACTACGGATTCTGGTACAACGAAAACTCTGGTATAATTGACTAAAATTTAGAGCCAGCAAGGTGGTCAGGACTCTTGTACAGTGAACTTTTCTACCACAGATATCCCAAATTCACTAACTTCCGACTCAAATATCAATACATTTTCAGGACGAGAACGGCGTGCTGCAGATATCAACATACCGATTTAAAAATGAAGGCTACCGATCTGTGGTTTGTTAACGGTTTGTTATGCCTAAAGAAGGCGACAGAAAAATTGATGTGCAGCGTGCTTGATCCTGCATTCTGGGGCTGCTATGAGCAGTGTCGTGATCCCGGGGTGCTGTGTCGTATCCCACCGCTGATCACCAGTTGTTGTGATCCCGGGGTGCTGTGGTAGCGTGGTGTAGCTTCGGATTGAGGAAACGAGCGCTTACAAGATGGGGATACGAAAAACAAACAAGGTTTATGGCACTATTTACAAATATTTACAGCATGAGGTTAAGAGTTCACAAACCACGAGCGTGGTGGTTAGTTGGTTCAGAGCCATCACAAACTACGAACGTGGTGGTTGAACCTTTAGTTGGTTCAGAGCGACGTCCTGCACTCTGCGGCGCCGTTATAAGCCCTGTCGGGCTCCTCCTTCTTCAGTGGAACACCAATCACACACACACACAACAGGTGAGGGGTACGAGCAGGCACGGCGCACGTGAACAGCCAATTTCGAGTCAAGATCACTGCACTTAAAGGTGGCGCCAGAGGGGCTCTTGCTCGTCGTGTGTGTCACTGGTCGAGGGGTCCCAAGCTTCGGACAGCAGACATCAAATGGTCCGCCAATCTGTCTGCTCAATTAGCAGGACACTTTGTGGCGGCGGTCGCCGTTTCTACAAAGGAAGACGCTGTCTTTGTTGTCCCCTCTGGAACGGCTTACCGCTTCGTGGCGACGTGATGTCTCATCCGCTGGCTAGCTGGGACAATGCCTGGCGGGCATAGGCATTCGGCGAGCCGGCTACTTGTTTGAAGATTAAAAGAGCGCCGCTCCCCCGTCATCTCTCGACGCTGGTTCCAAGAAAACCGGGGTTCCAGGCGTGGGAACGCTGCCCGGCTACGCTTCTCAGCGACAGTATGGCGCCTACCGATGGCGGTCATAACAGCTTCCCCCTCGCCAGATGAGTCACGGAGGGCAGCGGTCAACACTGCTGCTCGCAGGGACGACGAAAGGGTCCGTAGTCGAATCCCAAGAACTGGCCTTCGCTTGTGGCATGGTCTGAGTAAATGCCGAATCTTCGACACCGTTTCCGAAACTGGACCACATGCAC